AATCAAATAGGGTGATTCATGTGTTCTATAGAATTGAAGATTGGGAGTTCTCATGAGCAGATTGTTTCATGGTGGTGAACTGTGAAGTTGTGGCCGGAGCTAGCCAGATGATAGAAGGTGTTATGATTCTGTCATTGTGGACTTTCGGAGGTTATTTATCTATTGGTGGCTGACCATAGTTGATTTGGGCCCCATTGGTAGGCTCAATTAGGATGTGTATTCTACACCGAGCCGAATTGATTGGCTCCATACTGCTATTGTTGAATGATGTGACATTCGATTGATGTGAAGCTTATTCCTGCTCTGAAATGATCGGTGAGTTACTCTTCTATGCTACGAGGAGTTATGATTCGTGGTTATATGCACATATGGTGCGGTTCTATTGTGGCCTTATAGCGGAATTTGAGCGAGAATAATATTGGATATTGCTTGGTTGATGATGTATTGGTCATGTTCTTTCGGATTTTATGTGGCATTGTGTCGTTTGCTTCTCTGTGGTTATAGTAATGCACTTTGGGCACTTGATGTTGAATTGCGCATTGTTATTGATTTTAGTATGGTGGCTTGAGGTGTTTCATATGGATCAGTATTTGGATAGGGTCGCGTATTGCAGCAGAGTTATGTGGAAATATGATCCCTTGTGTAAGATTCGTATGTTATGGTTCTGCGGTGTGTGATGGGTTCTTAGCATTGCGTCGGGGTGGTACTTGTCAAGCTTGCAGAACTGTTCTCCTATTTGGGTCATTGTTACGATTGGGTACATTTGGAATGTTGCTATCTGGTGCACGGATTGCACGGGTTGTGGCTTTAAATTGTATTAATGTGTAGTGTCACTAGAGTGGTCGCGTTAGAGGAGATGAGGTCATTGGGCCTAGAATGGATGCTATCAGATTTGATTGTGGTATAATTATGAGGATAATATCGGAAGTCGGCTTTGAAATTGGCTATAGTTCTTGTAGAAGGAACGAGAGCTCCATGACTTGATGGTCTAATGAATGGTTATGAATTCGGTATGTTTCTTTCATCATCGGTATTGTACGAAGGTTTTAGAACGAGGGTTTGTCTGATATGAGGTTTATTACTGGCACTGGATTGATTTGAGTCGATACTGTGATTTGAAATCATTGCTTCGAGCATTCGAGCTATGCGGTATTTGAATTTGAGTATTTGAGTTATGGTTACGGCTTTTGGTACAGATTGTTCAGACATATACGGTATGTAGAGGCAAACTTCTCATCTTATAGGAAATTTCGGATGTTGGAAATTTGATTCAAAGGCTTGTGGGCTAGGTTGAATTGAGAAATTTCAGTTATGCTGTGCTATCAGACTTGTATGGGATATGGTGACATGGGATCACCCCCGGGTATGTACATGTGAAAGCTACACAGCGATTTGATGGCTTTTGGAACAACTCTGGGCACGTTCGAGGACGAACGTATGTTTAAGTGGGGGAGGATGTAACGACCCGATCGGTCTTTTTAAATATTTGCACTTCGCTCAGTTGTTTGAGGGCATGAGTAGCTCTGTATGATGTACTTTGACTTGTGTGAGTCGTCGATTTTGGGTCGCAGGTATTTCAGAATCGAATTGGAAGAAGGAATTTCATTGTTGAAACTTTAAATTGGGAGAGTTGACCAAAATTTAACTCTTTAGAATTTGACCTCGGATTGGAATTTTGATGGTTCTGTTATCTTTATTAGGTGATTTTATACTTAGAAGTGCGTTCGGAATGTGATTTGGAGGTCCGTGATAGAATTAGGCTTGAATTGGCAAAATTGGAAATTTGGCGATTTTAGTCGGCAGTGGAAAATTTGATATCGGGGTCGGAATGAAATTCCGGAAGTTGGAGTTGATTCGTAGTGTCATTTGTGACATGTGTGCAACATTTGAGGTCATTCGGACGTGGTTTGGTTGGTTTCGGCATCGGTTGCCGAATTTGGAAATTTAGAAGTACTTAGGCTTGAATCCGAGGGTAATTTGGTGTTTGAATGTTGTTTTGAGTGATTCGAAGGTTCGACTAAGTTTGTATGTTGATATAGGATTTGTTGGTATTTTTGGTTGAAGTCCCGAGAGCCTCGGGATGATTTCGGAAGGTTAACGGGAAGTTTAAAGTTAGAAAAATGCAGTTGGTGCTGCTGTTCTGGTGTGGCCGCACCTGCGGGTTGGGAACCGTAGGTGCGACTTTCGCATGTGCGGAATTTAGTCGTAGGTGCGGGGTTTGGAAGCCTGGGGTTTTATCGCAGAAGCGAATGAGGGGTCGCACCTGCGAGACCGCAAGTGCGAAGAGGTGATTGTAGGTGCGGGTTTTAGGACCTTAAGTGACTTCCGCAGATGCGGACTTTTGGGCGCAGAAGCGGAGGCCGCAGGTGTGCTATCTGGACCGCAGATGCAGTTTTGCTGGGCAGAAAGGTATAAATTGAACCCTTCGTGAATTTTTGGTCATTCTTCACAATTTCAACTCGGTTTTTGGAGCTTTTGGAGGGTTTTGAAGAGGGAATCAAGAGGATTTCATTGAGGTAAGTTACTTGAGCCTCATACTCGTATATATGGTGATTTTTTCGTTGTTTAATCATTGTAATTAGTGAAAATGAGGGGTTAGAGCTTGGAATATTTGGAGAGAAATTTAAGGATTTGAAAGACCAAACGATGTCGGATTTTGATGAATTTGGCATGGTTAGACTCGTGAGTGAATGAGCTTTCTAGTTTTGTGAATTTTATCGGATTTCGAGACGTTAGATCGGGGGCCGGGTTTGAGCCAATTTCGGGTTTTGGTCTAATTTTGACGCTTTTCTTGTGGAATTCATTCCATTAGCGTATATTGACGGTATTGTACTTATTATGAACAGATTTGGAGCATTTGGAGGTCGAGTCCAGAGGTAAGAGCATTGCGGGGTAGAGATTTGACCGGTTTAAGGTAAGTAACGATTGTAAATCTAGTCCTGAGGGTATGAAACCCCGGATTTTGTATCATTCTACTATTTTTAGTGACGCACATGCTAGGTGACGGACGTGTGGGCGTGCACTGTTGGGAATTTATGACTTGGTCCATCCCGTAGCAACTGTAAAGTTGCATACTTTGTTGAAACAATATGATACTTATATGTTTTAGAAAGAATTTCTGTAAATTGGACTGAATGCCATATTTGGGCCTTGCGCCAATGCTGTTTGGAGCCTTAGGGGCTGTTTCTTACCATCCTCTCATTGTTTTCGATTGAGAATCTATACTCAGTCATGTTTATACTTATTTACCGCATAACTCAGTTTTATGACTCTATTTTGATGCATATTAAAGTTTGGGGCCGAATGCCCTGTTTTACTGAAATGCCCGAGTGGCTTGAGAGGTTTATGACTGAGTGAGGCTGAGGGCCTGATTTATGAGGATGAGTGTGGATCAGGGCTGCCCGCCTGCAGCATATTTATGGCTGAGTGAGGCCAAGGGCCTGATTTGTGAGGATGAGTGTGGATCGGAGCTGCCCGCCTGCAACATACTTTATTATTATAGCACGTGANATTTTTTTCTGGTTACAGATTTTCTCGGAGATAGCAAGGTAGTTGTTGGCGATCGCAGCCCCTGCTCTTCTCCCTCTTATCTTCCTCTAGTTATATTTAGCTATTTTCAAGGCTGAGTTAGCCTTGATGTTGTTAGACAGATTGTAGTAGATGCTCATGACTAGTGACACCCCGATGTCGCGCTTTTGTTTTCCGCACTTTTATTTTCTTTGATTTGAACTCCTTAAATGAAGGTTCTATGTTAAATAACACTGAAATTATCTTTGAAATAAAAATATCGGTATTGTTTGGAAATGAGTCGGCTTGCCTAGTTCCACGATAGGCGCCATCACGACAGGTTAGGTTTTTGGGTCGTGACATAGTAATTCCAAAATTGTATGTAAATTGAACATTAATATTACATTTAACTTTTTCATGCTCTGATTAATTGTTTGTCATGAATATGATAATTTTTCCTAGATCAATCTCATTCTCTAAACCTAAGTGTCATTGGTGATTACCAAACAAGGTATGCCATCATGTTATGCTCTACATGCTTAACATGATAATTCAAAGTGAAATTTGAAAGGAATAGATTGATAAACTTTAATTAACTTTTTAAAAAATGGATATAATTTTAAAATCCATAATTTAAATCTTTTCTATTTATGGTATTATTTAGGGAACTTTATGAGAAACTAGATGAAGATGTTGTTAATTCTGGTAGAAGAATTTTTATGAGATGTTTGATTCAAGCATGAATGACAAATATGGTTGTAGTTTCTCCCCTTAATATCGTGATGTTATCAACTATTTATGTGAAAATGGCGATACAATATAAAGTGTTGTACAAATTCTTTAATTTAACATGGTAATTATTTTTTGAGTGATGTTTATATATTATGTCTCTTTCTTGATCACTTCATTTGGGTTCACACTTGAGAAGCGTAAACTCATATCTAAAAACTCTAATTTGAATAGAAGTATTGATATTTGTAATTTAAATCTATTTATATAATTAATTTTTGTATGCTTATACATGAAAAAGCTTATCTCTACTAATTGAATTTCTAAAAAAATGTTCTGTAAATACATTAACGTTCTTTATGACCGCGCAAAGTGCGAAAAATTCACTAGTGTAACTAAATCATCAGTATAAGAACGACAGTTATATTCAATACAGAAGTTGCAAAAGGAGAACATTTTAACAATTTAATCCTACTTGAGAGGTGCCAAAACTTATATTGGGACTGCTAGGGGTGTTGACCTAACATAAAATTTTGTATAGTATATAGTATAAACGGGGAGATTAACAGCATTAAAATTTTGTAGCAAACAGGAAAATGTAAATAGATGGTCAGTAGGTACAATATGAAGATCCAGATTTACATACATCTAATTCAGTGCTGCAAAGCTTCTGCCCATCCAAGAATGTCTTTTAAACAACTAAACAGTATGATCACTCACATGAAACATTTAATGAATGTAAAATATAAGGACAAGAAAAGTCGTACACTTCACATAATTTCCCATTTCATCATAATATAATCCCCACCAAAATCGAACTCATGTTAACAGAGGTCAATTCCAACATTTTTGTGCTCAATTTCTCCTGTATGTGGCTGCACCCAAACCTAAAACCTAAAGGACAAAAAACAATGCTGTAGTACGAGAAGCAACCTACACATTTCTTATTAAGAAAAACTGTTAACAAATGGGTTACACATCTTTGATTGTGATGTCACTAATCTAATTTTTCCATCCATGTGCCCCTACTGCTATGAAATCTCATATTTGGATACACTGCTATGGATTGCCTATATGAATACAACCAAGAACGTGATTCACAAAAAAACATAACAAATCACAAATTCCTGGTTGAGCAAAATAATGAATTATCAGCCAAAATCTAGCCAAACTAACTTGGATGATTTACAGAAAATTGTGAAGACATCAGTGCACTATCTTGCCCGTGACTCCACAACTAATCACAGTGAGAAAATCAGACAACGGGCCTGCAGAATATGGAAACAATTAGCAAACTGTATTTCATCACTCGATAAGAAATTAAGGCATGTTAGGTGTTCAATTCTCACTATTGGAAAGAGATTAGTTAAACAAGGCAGTCATAATTGCATTCCAAGATTCCTAAACTCCAGTCTCTTCAAATTCAAAGTTAAAATAATGAGGATCTTATTATCATTTTATTTAGGCGACTTAATTCTCCACATACAGCAAGAAGAAAGCTGTAAAGACAACCCAATACTAGGAGCAAGGTACAACAGAAAACAAAAGGAGGGGAGACGAGATGAGAGAACTGACCGATTCTTCTCATACTGCAAATGTCGCAAGAAGAGCATGCAACACAAACCAATAGATGATCACACTAAGCCGTAGAACAGGCTGCCGCATTAATGTCCGATCACAAGATACCCTAGAATTCAGACACAATATGGCTTTTGTTAGATAACAAAAATTTCAAATGCATAGAAAATGAAAGCAAGGGATGAAATTTGTCATACCATAGACCATCTATCATGTCAGTTATGGGTCTTGTAAACCGTGGGACAATCCTTGATGTCGTTAGCGACTTGAAACCATGAGCTGAGAGGAAAGAAAGGTGTTATCAGCAGTCTGAAGATGTGAATACCAACCAAACCACCCTTCAAAAGGTATAAGGGGAAGAAGACTTCGGGAATGAATGTAACTAAGACAAAACAGGTAAATTTAGCACTAATCTAGGGATTTCATCTTCAATACAAACAAAGATTCTAACAGAAAGCTCTACAACCACATATATACAAATGAAAAAAAAAAAAACAATACCCTCTTCCACACCCTGTGACCTACTGTGACATACCACCCCGAAGAAAAAAGGAAAGGAAAGAAAAGAGAAAAAGGAATTTAGTTGTCAACCAATCATCAGAGTACTTTCTTAACAACATAATGTCTTTCTAAGATTATCTATCATCAGGAAAACTCAATCTAGTGCCCATCAAGAATGAGAATAAGCAAAATAAAAGAGAGATCTGACAAAGCATGAAACACAAGGTTAAAGAAGCGAAACCATCGAGATTATATAAGAGCAGAAAAAATGTTATACGAAGATATGATGTTTGAAAAAACCTTCATGCGTTATGCCACAGCCTAACAAAGCCGCCTTCCGCAACCACAGTGAAAGTAAGCTCAACCTCCAACCATTTGACATTAGAATCAATATTGGAGTCAACTTACTATATAACCGGAGTAACAAGATAATAGAATACAGTAAACATGTTTACCAATCAAAAAGAATGTTATCAAACAATCACACTTCAATGTTGATTCTTCAAATATACTAGCAATAGAAGTCATTACCCTTATCATCATCTTCATCTTCTAGTTTCCCACTCTCAGGATCCACATCTATAGCAACAGCTACTTGGTCATTATTAGTTTTGCGCAAACTGCGAACTTGAGATGCAACAGTTCCAGGCATTACCCTTTTGTTGGCCTGCATTTGAAGAGCAGAAGAAAATAGTGCCAATAAGTACACCGATCAAAAAAACAACAATAATGCCAAGTATAGCTGCAAGAACATGATGCTTAGCCACATAATACTAAAGATATTATAGAGATGAAATACAAATACCTTTCAGGGCTAATCCATAGCATGCTATTATCATATTCCAATTCAGACTGGTTTTCTATACTAAGCACACTCTTACTACAGGTCCATAGCTTGGTGATATTAAATTAGTACTCAACATCTTGAATCTGAAAAAATTAACTTCCTCTACCATCATAAACTTTTGAAATACATTTCAACTTCCTTTTGCTCTTATATTATATTGATAGAAATCCTGTAAATACCAGCGATTAAACTCAAGGTCACTGTCACACATAATAATCCATATTAGCCAAGCACTACTAGATAATCATTACTACCACTACCGTCATCCAAGAATGTGTACTCATTCGTTCTGAAATCAAAACTCAAAAAAGTTTACATATGTATATAATGAAGCCATCCTTAAAAAGAGAGACTTGGGCATGTGAAAGGCTGATAATAGAATCTGTGTTCAAATGTTGCCCAAATCCAGTTAAAACCCAGAGTAGACCATACAGATTCTAACCGATGATGAGTTAGACCATCCGCATCAATGGATAAGAGGAAAAACAGAGAGTCAGAAACCGAGTGTCTTTGTTGTGTATCAAACCAAACCCAAACAAAACTTCAAAAACAGCCCCCAAACTTTTAAAGGTTATCATTTTGATCCTCACTTTTTCAACTTGTTTTTAAATATATACTTCATTAATGATCCCTTCCATCTTCTGCTATTGTCCAAAAATGCAAAATAACTATTTATCTTCCTTAAGTTTTGTAATATTGTTTGATGTTAAAATATCAATACTAGTCTATATTAGTATTTCTTTAGGATCACTGAAGCAATGGTCCATATTTTTACATAGTAGAGGATTGTTACAGTTTCCTGTCTCCAAAAGAACCAATCTATACACATTTGTTTTCTAAAACTTTTCTCTAGACACAATAATCCAAACAAAAATTTCCCTCAAGAAGAAGATCTCCGGAAACTCTCACATCAAATATAGAGCTCCAGATTTCCTGGGAAGTGATTCTTTAATTTCCCTCAAGAAGAAGATCTCCGGAAACTCTCACATCAAATATAGAGCTCCAGATTTCCTGGGAAGTGATTCTTTAATTTCCCTCAAGAAGAAGATCTCCGGAAACTCTCACATCAAATATAGAGCTCCAGATTTCCTGGGAAGTGATTCTTTTTTTTAAGTCGGAAGTGACTTTATTGTTTTCCTCCAGAACTCAAACTTTAGTAAAGATTGTCATGAAGTACATATATACTTAGAACAGAATGATGTGGAGAGCAGACTCAATAAGCATCCTCAGAAATTCATTTATTAGCACATCCTTCCCACGTTCTCCTTCCACCAAAGGAGGACAACGGCAGTCTGTTTAGTTATTGAGAATCATCGGCAGACATGATCTCATTCTAATATATCCCACACCTTTTAGCATCTTTCTTTTTTCTCAAGAGCACCTATTCCTCCTTTTGCTAGCTTTTCCCAGAAATTTCCCAGGATCATTTTTTTTTTTTTTTTTTTTTTTTTTTTGGAAAGGTACGTACATTCCCCTGAATCAGTTCTTTCAGGAAATCTTGGTAACGGAGAGCCACAAAATCTTGCAGCATTTGGCATTTGTATTTTTCATGTCCTACATTTCACCTCATTGCGGATATGAACTTTAAATTTCCAGTTCACTGATATGTAAATCCCTTTGGCTTATCTAATTTAATGTAAATCCTACCTGCTTCCAGTTTGACCTAGTTCATATCAAAAGCTAATGTTCCCTCTAAGGCGTCTGTACAAGACTGACAATAGAATAGACGATTTTGTTCAAAGTACAAGAGCTCATCCAATAGGTATATGATGATAATATGAAACAAATCACTTGCTAATTCTTGTACTACTGATATGCTGGATCTTTGTCGTAGTTTTAGTTAATTACTAGATGGAGAATAAGGAACAGTAATCAAGCATATTCAGATTTTGAAGACAAGTATCTACAAAACAAATAAATCTTTTAATATGCTTCACTTTAATTGGCTGATATGTAATATTATCAATTATAAAACAGTTAGGCAGCTTGATGGAACCAAAAAATAAAATTGATGAAATAGAACGAAATAAATGAAATGACATACCACTGGCTCTATCTCTATAATTTCCGACGTAGAATTTACTAGTTGCCCCATGTCACTGGCCCCTCGAAGCATGGTTAATTGAGATTCCTTGTCACGCAAAGAGTTCTCAAGAAATTCTTCTTTCCTAACCAGCTGTTCTACTTTATCTTTCTCAACTTTCAACATTAAATCTCTCGTCTGTGCCAGTGCACGCAGATCCTCCAGCTCAGATACCACAGACACGACCTGCTTCTCTAACATTTCCTTATATTCATGGATCTGGCTAATTTTTGCATCATCATAATTCATATCATGCGTCTGGACTCGGGAAATCATTTTGTCAACCCATGACAAAAAGTCACGGATTTCATCAGTATTTCTTTTGCTACCCATCTGAGCAGAAGCTATTGCATCATTAGTGCATCTTGTAACTTCTTGCCTCAAGAAAGAAATCTCTGTATCTCGCTCTTGTAATTGTGACTGAAGATTCTCAACCTCAGACAAAAGGCTTTCAGATAGTTGATGAAGTTCATCAAATTTGCTTACTGTAACAGAAAGCTTCTTCATAATCTTCCCGCGGGAAACTTCAAGGTTCTCCATATCTTTATTTTTTTGAAGTAGGACTCTCTCCATTTCTTCAATCTTGTTTGTCATGTCTTCCATTTGGGCCTCCTCCTCATCGAGTGCTTGCATCAGTGCCTCATTTTCTATAGTCATACAAAATAGAAAATACTTCTAGAAGTCAGAGTTTGGTTGAAAGCTGATAACAAACAAAAGAATTAAGTTCAAAATTTCAAATGCTGGAAATTGAGCTCAATAAAATCACCTTGTTCCTTTGCAGCTAGCATGTCTTCAAGTGCTTTAACTCTTAACTGTAAGTCAGCAAAGCTGGACTCCTGATCTTGCAGTTCTTTTATCCTGTGTGCCAGAGAATCTCGCTCCTCCTCCATCAGGTCCACCTTCCTGTGTAAATCATTCATCTGAGATTTTGCTATTTGAAGCTCTTGTGAATAACTCTTTGAAACAGATTCAGCTTCCTTAATCTGACTAACAAGTTCTGCACAAATTTTTTCTCTCTGTATATCCTTCTCCTGAAGTTCTTTCTGAAGATTTGATATAGCAGCTCTCATATCCTTTTGGCCAACTTCAGCAATATCACTTTGCAGACTCATAATATCTTTCACAGCCATGAATAATTTCTCTATTACTGACCTAATACCTTCCTCAGAAAACTGGTCAGTCTTCTCAGCTAAATCATTTCCTTCAGCTAAACTTCGATACACTGAATTGATTCTGGAAGCTCCAGTAGCTAAGCTGTTTCCAGCCAATTCGGATTTTCTGCTTTCAATTTCCATGACCAAAGTGGTACAAGCTTCATAAAGCATAGCATTGTATCTTTGCACAGTAAACAATTCTGCATCTTTCTCCTTTTGAATAGATTCTAACCGCATCACGTCTGTCTTCAACGAATTTGAGTGCTGCTTATGGTAGGATATTTCTTCATGTATGGTTCTTAATATCTCAGATATATGGGCAGTTTCTTCATGCAATAAATGGGAATGCCTGTTTAACTTTACGTTGATAGAACCAATTTCTTTATTGAAAACCTGCAGCAAGTACACAAACATTCTTACTTCAATAGTCCTTTCAGTTCTCCATCATCTAAGCATTTGGAGGAGGAATATATATTGAAACAAAAAGTTGAAAAAGATCTGTGAAAACCTAGAATATTCTTTAAGGAGAGAATGACAGATGAGGATGAAAAGCACAATAGAAAGCAATGAGAACAAACTATGGAAGCAGGAAATGTGTAATACAGAACAGTCATCTGGTACTACAAGATCAGAAGGGAACACACTGGTACAAAATCAACAAAAACTGCTATGTATCAGTACCAGTGAATTTCACAAGGTCTGACGCTAACAAGATTTACTAATATATGTCTGGTAAATTTCTCAGACATATAGGAAGAGATTCTGGACCTTATACTAGTCATTTTCTCCTTATTTTTCTATACTAATTGCAAGGGAGATTAGAAAAGTGTGACGAAATAATGTATTTCCTTTCCTTGTCCCACAAAAAATAAGAATCTTTTTTTCCTTCACCAAAATATTTGGAGATCAACTACCTTAGCAAACTTCAAATAGTGAAGCATGTCCTACAATGTATGTTCCCAGCCCAGAATCAATGTTAAGAGGAAATCCACTTTTAATCAGCCTTAATTAGATTATCGAAATTCTTAACTATTCAAAGATGCCACATCATCATATAAACTAGGTTAAAAAGCTGATTGGAAATTTTTAAACTTTCCAAAAAAATGAAAAATCTTCAAATCAACCCGCAGAAAGAAGTAAGCTATTTTCTTGATAATCTTTTGCTAGCTTATTCATGGAACAACTGGAAAGTGATAGACTTGATAGTTGATATTGCTCAGCCCCAAAGAAATTTATAAGCATTCAAAATAAGACAAGTGACATGAAATGACATAAAACTGTGGTACCTTGTTTTCCGCTTCTGCAAAGTTAAGGCCACTTGAAGCATCAGTCACATGTAGAGAAAAGTGATTTTGATCAGTTGGTTCTAGGCATACTTTCATACTAGAACCGAGATTGCGCATAGTCTCCAAATCCATGGATAGAACATCATTGAGCAAACGGTCAAATACAAATAGATCCTCCCTTAGCCGATCCACACCAGATTTTAGCATCGTGATTTCAGCTAATTGGTTCTTTCTTTCTTCTGAGTGAGCAAAAGATAGCTTTTCTAAATGTGCAAGAGCCTCATGTTTGGCAACTTCAGCAGATTCTTTTTGCTTGGACAGTTCAAAGAGTTCACTCTGAGACTTTGTTAGCTCCTCTTGTAGCCCATCATTTCTTTCTTGCACCTCATTTAACTCTGCAAGAAGTAGCTCAGCTGCTCTTTTAGATTTTTTTGCTTCATGTTCGGAAGAAGTAAGAGCTGACTGCAAATCATGGCATAATTGCCCAACAGTTTTTAGCTTCTCGACAGGATTACCAATGTTAGACCCAACATTAACATCATCCAGAGCACTCAAAATCATGCTCAAGGTACAGTCTTTTTCTGCCAATTGATCTCTCAGGATTGAGCTCTCAGATTCTACGGTCTTTATCCTCTCCTGGAATACAGATAAATCTTTTTTCTTTTGTTCATAGTCTGAAATAGCATTTTCCTGCAACTTGATCTCGGATTTTAAGCGCTCCACTTCACCATTCAACTCTTCAATTAATTGCTTCAAGCTGTCCCGATGTTGCACCAAGGACTTGCCTTTCCTAACTGCAACATTCAATTTTTCTCTTAAAGAAGATGACTTCTGTTCCTCCTGACTGAGTAGATCTTGCATTTCTTTATTTTTGATACCTAATTCTTCAAGTTCACGAACCAATGATTGATTAGTCAACACAATATTCTCCCTCTCCTCCTTCAAGGACAACAAGTCGCTGAGAGCATCCTCCAATTTTCTGCTGAGAGCACCTCCATCTGCATCTTCAGCACACCTGACATTACTTTCTCTCTTTTCTTCATGAGAGAGATCAGCCCCTTTATCAACATGCTCATGTGTTGACTCGGACTCAGAAGGTAAAGAAAGAGCGGTATACTTCTCTATAAGCTTCCTAAGTAACTGTTCCAAAGCTTCAGTGCTACCAGAGCTAAATAACGCATCATCTGTCTCAGAATTCGGAAGGACATCTTTGACCATATCTCCTAATCTTCTTATTTCACCTTCAAGATGATGAATACGCTCCTCTGCTCCAAGCATTTCGTTCAGTTTCTTCTGCAAGTCACCTACTCTGCTCCGCAAATCATCATTAGTTATGTCAGATTGGGCAGTTTTCCTTGACATTTCCTCATAATCAAAGTTAAGAGACTCCAAATTCTTCAAAAGCAACTCTTTCTCACTGACAACCAATTGATATGCACTCTCAAGCTCAGATATTTTTCTGCGTGACTCTTCCAGTTCAGCGCTTGCTGATGCAAATAATGATTCAAAATTATCATACTTTTGTTGGAGAGAGTTGTACTGGTTTTGAGTTTCTGAAAACGCAAGCATTAACCAACCAATCCGATCTTCTGGCTCCATAGATCTCAAGTGTGAAGGCATATCTATCCCGTCCAAGATCTCTTCCCACTTCTGAACAAGGTTGTTTCTTTCCATCAAGGATTGTTCAAGCATCTCATTTTGTTCTGCCAACCCATAAAACTTGCCCTGGAGCTCCTCAAATCTTCTTCTAAGGTCTTCGGAAGATCCCAAGTTTGACTGTGCCGCCTCTTTCCATCCATCAGTGAGTGCATATCCAGCATCAGAGTATGATCCTCCAATAGAGCTCTTCTGATCCCATTCAGCCAGATGCAAAGAGTTCCCAGCAACTGACTTTGCCAACCAATCAACTTTTTCAATGATATCCTTTGAATGGAAATGCTCCGGAAGCTCCAAATCTTCTAAAATCTCCTCTACTCTCTGAAGAACAGAGTCTTTGAGAAGGAATGACTCCCTTAATGCAGTAGCAGAGTTGCGAATGTATGAGAGTTCAGATTCCAAAGCTTCCATGCGCTCACCTGCCTCCGAATAGGTCTTGAGTTTCATTTCAACTTCCTGAAGCCTTGCATCTTTCAATTGCAACTCCTCAGAGCATTTCTGCAGTTCAGAGGATGTGTCTGCAAGAGATTGTTTAAGACTGTCACGCTGCACAATCAAACCTTTGCCTTTGGTGACTGCTATGCCAAGCTTCTCTCTTAGAGCTGACACCCGTTGCTCAGACTGTTCAATATCAGCAACTTTCTCTTGATATTGCGAACCAATAGCTACAACCTCTTCCTCAGCTCTCTTCAAACTTTCCCTAAGGACAACAACTTCATTTTCACATTGAACAAGTAACAAGCTCAAGTGATCCATTTGTCCCTGCAGATCAATCACTTGTGCTTCCTTGGAAGCATATTCCATCCTGGACAACCTCGCATGTTCAGTTGCCTCTTTACACTTCTGAACTAGGAGAGAGATCAGGGACTCTAGACAGGATACTGGGTCATTAACGTTGGTTTCAAAGCTATCCAAAGCAATGACTCCTTCAACCACTTGAACCATCTTTAAAATAGAATCGGATTCAAGGGATCTTTTGCTCAGTTCTTCAAAATCATTTGTCCTGGCCATCAACTCAGACTTCAGTTTTCCATTTACAAATTCAACTTGTGCTTTCTCATCAAGAAACCTTTGCAACTGCTCCAGTAGGGAATCAAAAGCACCAGGATGAGAAAGATCTACTGATTTCTCAGGATCGTCAACTTCAGCTTCTTGTAGATGCCCTGGCGTTTCATTCACAAGTTTCTTGAGGTTACTATAAATCTTATGCATAAGGCTGGCAGACCTTTCATTTTCAACTTGCAAGAAGTCTAACTTCTCATTGACTTCACGGGAGGTACTCATTGACTCATGGCGAGAAGCTTCAACTTGATCCTGCAATGCCTCAATCACATTGATGGCAGCATCTATAGATGCAGCAGTACGGCTACTTAAGTTTATGCACCCTAGACCATGGTCTATTCTTGACGGCAAAGAGGAGCCAACAGTCTCAACAGACAAATCTAGCCTCCGAAGTGTCTGAAAAACCTGATCAATTGTAGAGTTCCATTCTTCTCGAAGTATTGATCCTCTGTCAGCAACTTCCCTATAAAGAGCTTCTACCTGATTAGAGATATCAGAACCCATCTCTTTGCAGCTTTCACGCATTTCACCCAGCTGATTTTGCAAAATAGATAGTTTTTCCTGATAGCTGCTAAGATTCCCCTTTAACTTATTGTTCTCAGATTTTGCGGCGATTTCTTGCTTGCGCAAAGCTTCATTTAGGACCCTAATTTCTCCCTCCTTTTCTTTAGCATTCCAGAAACATCCCCCTAAAGATTCATTGAAAACCATTAGCTCAACGTTTGCTCCTTCCAAAAGATCAATATGTTCATTCAGAGACTGGCATTTGGCCCTGAGTTCTTCAGCAGCAACCACAGCAGCTGTTTTGCAGCTCTTCTCTCCCTCAAGAAATTGGTAGCCGTTGCCAGCTTCCAACACCAAATCTTTCAGCAACGCTCTTAATGTTTTTGTTAGCCCTTGAATTAGCACATATGGATCTCCATCTGTTTGATTTTCAAATGACTGAAGCTCCTCTGGGTGGTGCTCGTCATCATGGTCCTTTGGCTCAAAAGCTTGAATAAGTTTTGACACACCAGGTGAAACCGCTTTACCAGATGACCTACTCATAGAAGCTGACTGAGAGTGCATATCTCCAATTGCTTTCTCAAGTTTTTCAAGTACTCTCTCTGCCTCCTCCTCGTGTCTTTTCATAACTCCAAACCATTTTGAACCATCATCATCAATCAGATTTGCGGGTGCAGAGCTAGACTGGCAAGAAACTTCAAGTTGAGGTCCAGCTTCCCTAGATTGATATGCAAAGCTACTTTGGTTAGGTGACTCTGTCTTCATC